ACTTTCTAGCAGAGAGCAGTGTTAGGCCAGTCTAGTTGATCATCCTCAATAATCTCACAGACAGCAGAAACACTGGAAACACTTCAAGTCTGAACTTGTTCTTAGTCTCTTCCAGCTATCAGTGTAAAGCCACAATCAACAATTTTTAAAAAAGAATTGTTTTTACCAAAAGTCAATTAAAGTGAAAGCATGATTACACTCCTCTGGGACAATGCAGATGGAAAACCAGGGCAAAATATGCAAGAACATGAAACAAACAACACTTAGAGTGTCAGCAGTAGGGACATAACCCAAAGGAACAGGAAAGCAAATGGAATAAATATGTGTAACAAATCAATCAACCTCCAGACACAGAGTTAATAAGCCTGTGTAATTTTTATACCAGAGATAAATAAGAAGGCATAGGGGGGAAAAAAAGTAATCCATGGACTTTGGTTGCTAATACTGATTTTCAAAGGTATGTGATCAGGTTGTGTAGTCCCAGCCATACAAACCAGAACACAGCCAGGGGAGATCTCCTAGACTGCAGCAATCTGGAGCAGGCCAGGATGTAAAGGATGCTGGATCCAGTAATGCTTAATGAAATTGGAAACACAGACAGGGAGTAACAGACCAAAATTCTCTGGGAAACCTACTCACTTGGAAAGTAGCTAATCAGTCGTCTCTGAATTGTAACATTTACAGCCTTTGTAAGGTAAAAAAAAACCAGGTTATACTGCAAAGGAGCTCAGAATTTAACTGGGAGAAAGCAGAGGTAGGCTCTCAGGAAGTGTTTGTGGCTGTAAGACTTATTTTTCAACAGTGTACCCTCACAGGTGGGCCTGTTTCAGTTATGCACATAAAGCACACAAGGACTTATCAGCAGGAAACAAGTTTATACGGATTTTCAGGCTACCTCTTCCTAATCAAGAGCAGGCTGAGAAGGAAACACCTGTGATGGACAAAATCAGTGCTTCACACAAAGTGCTTACCAATGAAGGGATCAATGACATGACGCTTTTTCACCTTGGTTTCTGTGATGGCAGCATAATAGGCACAAGTCATTTTGATAAGCCATGCTGCTCTCATTACTGGAACGGTGTATTTTGCCAAATAACCAAAGACTTCTTCCTTCTTGCTAAAGATGGGCACCTATAACAGGATGGAGAGGGAGAAATGAGCCAAGGACTTGGATGGGAACTATTCCAAAGCAGCTACATCTGCTGCAGGTGCTGCAAGCTGTGAAAAAGGTAAAAAGGTAAGAGGCTACTGTGTTGCTCTGTATCTCAAAAAGCCTACTGCAAAAATTCACTTCTGGTCAGAAGGCACCAGTACCAGAGCTGCGTTTCAGTATAAACAGAAAGAAAACAAATTGAAAGAAGGGAGAAAACATAATTACATCACTGTAAATCCATGCCCTGAATGCTGCAAACATCTTGGAGGCCATCCTCCAGACAGCCTCTAAACAACTACAAAAGATACAGACTAAGGACTGAGTCAGAAACAGAGTATCTGCTGTACAGACTGAAGACAGGACTCTTCACTTTGTAAACAAAGCACAGTGGTAACAAAAGTTTTGTAATATCATGAATACCCCACAGGAGACTGTGAGAAACAGAATTGAGTAACATAGTAGGAAGGAATTCATTAATCCAAGATTCAAAATTCAAGATCCAACACAGGAGGATAGCAGTGAAATCATCAGAGTGCAGATCTATAAACCAGGAAGCAACAACACATCACAGGAAAAAGTACAGCTGTGGGGCTCATTTCCACACAATACTCTGGAGAGCATACATAAGGAATGAAACAAATTCCCAAAGAATAGGCCCATTTGGTAGATACCTTTAAGTCCCTGAACTACTGACAATTCAATTATTTACCTGCTATGCTTCTCACGTTCTTCCCAATTACTCTGATTCCTCTAAGACATAAAGGCACAGACTACTTGGCTACTGACAGTTGCTGCCTTCCCATCTAAATCCACAGTAACTGATGGATCCCATTGCAGGAAAACTGGGGAAAGCCTTGAAAGGTTCAAGCTTTCACAATGACCTCAGGAAACTGGCAGCAAACAGCCAAAGAAAGACACAAGGACTAAGTTTATAAAGAGACAGATTGCGGGAAAGTCTGATTACTTTATTTCCTCTCAAGAATGACTCAGGACCTCAAGGAACAGGCAAATTCCATCTTCTAAACTATGTGCTCCACTGCCATTTCACAACTGGGAGTTCTGTTTTTCCACAAGGCGTACCAGATTCCCAAGTTCCTTGTTTATGTGCCTCCCCTGAGAGAGAGTTCTCTCCCCTTGCTGTCGGGCCTGATAAAATGCAGGGAGACCCTTTTTTCATACTCTACAGAATTCAAGGCTACAAGGGAAATATCTACCCCTAGAGCCCAGGGCACAGAAATGCTGTAGCCTGGCTGAGACCAAGTGATAGCACATATCCTCTCCTCAGCTTAAAACCAGAAACAAATCACTGCAACAGAAGTCTGGTAAGTCACTTAGCTGATTATTTTCAGGAGTTCTCACTATGGCTTTTGACAACCTGAGAAACCCTCCACAACAGAAATGTCCTAATCTAAACAACAGACCAAAGGCAACAGTGGCAGCTCTTCTGAAAAACATCTAAACCTTAAAATAAATCAGTCGTGTCCTACAAGCCAAAAGGCAAAGCTGGACACACCTTCAAACAACAGACAAGGGACCAGTTCTCTGAGTGGGGATGACTACAGTCAGGGTTCTACAAATCCTGGATCCACTCTTCAAGCTGAAAACTACACGAGATGTACAGATAAGAAACTTCTCCAAACAGTAAAAACCTTCAGAAACACTTCAGAAAAAAGCCCAGATTAAATTCTCTTCCCTGCCAGGACACCTCTCCTGTAGCATACCTTCTTTGCAAGGTGAGTGAGGGGCTTAGTTCCAGCCAGGTCTGTGAACCAGTTGTTTATGGCACTCTGAGAACGTGCTGTCACCAGCCAAAAGTTATCCTTCTGGTTCACCTGGGGTTTCCGCCTCCCTGTGTCAGGCAGTGTGTTGCACCGCAGCTTTTCTGCAATAATACTGCTGAAATTCGAGCTGATCTGAAAGAGAAAAAAAGGATTAATTACATTTCACGACTCAAAGATCTGTTTTCTGTGTGCTTAAAACCTTTTTTATCACTTCTACCAGAAGCATCGACTTTTGAAACACAAAAAAACTGCCAGTAAATTCCTTTGTTATGCTTGCAGAGATGAATGCTTCCAGACAACTCATACAATAACCAAGCAGGGACTGGAGATGGACACAGCACTTCATAAATACCTATCAAACCAGACAGAAGGTGCTTCTCAGACAGAAATCAGCCAAGAAAAACAAATATCCTGTGCTCATTGATTGCCTTCCAACCCAGGTCATTACTAGTCCTTCTGTTGGGGAGGCCAGGAAGTCAACATCTTGATTTCAGAGACTGGAAAAACAGAGTTGAAGCCCGTTATGTAACTCCCCTGTTTGAACTGCCAGATGTTTCAAGAAATCTTACTTCTCTTTTACCGTGAGCATGATGTAACCAAACCAGTAAGAACTTTCCCTCTCCTGGGATCATAGCCTTCTGCTTTAACTGCAGAGTATGGGGAGTCCCAGATGCTGGTTTTACTGAGACTGCAGATACAGACCTGCCCCTAAGATGTATAGAGCAAAGTAGGAACTCTCTTGCAGAGGTGGGAGACAGTTCTAAAAGAATGCAGAACTTGGACTGCAAAGAAAGAGAGGGTCAGGTCCTAAAATCACTCATTCTAAAGGAAAAGGTCTCCTGGCTCTCGGCACAGAGAAGGAAGTAAGACCCAGGGCTGTCCAGGATCCCGCAGCCCACCCTGCTAAAGGCCCCGTCTCACCTTCGCCGGGTTGAAATTGACATTTTTGGCACTGCCGTGCTCGTCCCCGGAGACCGCCGGCTGGTTATTGAAGCCTTGCTTGACATTCAGCGCAGTCAGCTCATCCTGCGGGGGGGAAGGACGGTCAGCGGGGCCCGGCGCGGCCCCTCCGCGCCCACCGCCGCCGCCTCCGTCCCCAGAGCGGGGGCCGAGCGAGGCCAGGCTCGGCTGCTCCCCCGGCCCCCGCCGCCCTGCCCCGCCCCTCCCAGGGCAGTGCGGGACACCGGGACAGCGGCCCCCCCGGCCCGCCCAGCGCCCCCATCCCGCGGGCCCGGCGGGACGGGCCCCGCTCCCGACCCCCGCCCGGCCGCCCCGCCGCCTCCCCAGGTCCGGGCGCAGCGCGGCGGTCCCGCACCCTGCGTCCCCCCAAGGCTCCCTCACCTCCTTCTGCTTGGGGTCCTGCGGGTACACGTCGGGCGGGCCGAGGCGCGGGCGCTTGAGCGGGCGGTGCTCGTAGCTGAGGACGCCGAAGGCCGCCATGGCCGGGCGGGGGCGGCCGGGCCACAACAAGGGCCGCCGGGGCCGCCCGCGCCTGCGCGCTGCGCGCTGCGCCGGGCACGGCGGGGACCGGCGGCACGGCCCGAGAGCCGCCGAAGACGCGCCGAGGGAGGACGGGCAGTCCCGAGCGCCGCCGGAGAGGCACGAGTGCTGCCGGAGAGACCCGAGTGACGCCGGAGAGACCCGAAGCTGGGCCGAGAAAGAACGGACAGTCCCGAGTGTCACCGGAGAGACCCGAGTGTCGCCGAGGCCGGGCCGAGTAAACACGAAAAGGTCCGAGCACAGACGGAGAGACCCGAAGCGAAGCCGAGAGAACGGAGATTCCCGAGCGCTGCCGGAGAGACACGAAGCCGGACTCGGGGTGGACGGAGAGTCCCGAGCGGCGCCGGAAAGTGCCGAAGAAGGACGTGGCGGCCCGAAGGGCCCGTGACCAACAACACCCCCCACCTTCCACGGCGGTCCCGACACCCGGACGACCTCGGCCACAGACACCCCCCCTGCGGCCACCGCTGCATCGTCCCCGGCTCCCCGGACACCGGCGGTGCTGTCACACACACACAGCCCCGCCGGGACTGCCCCGGTGCCGCCCGGTTCCCAGGGAGCCGGCTGGGCTGCAGATTGGGATCCCCTCAGCTGTCCCGCTCTTGGGGACAGCCCCGTGGGGTGATCCCTGCGGCAAGGCGGAGCGAACCACGGGGACATGGCAGAAGGAAACGGGAATCCCAGAGGGATGGGCCGTCTGGTTCCAGTGGGATCTGTGGGATCCCACTGGGGTGAGCCATGGGGTCCCAGTGGGATGAGCCGTGGGATTGCAGTGGGATCTGTGGGATCCCACTGGGGTGAGCCGTGGGTTCCCAGTGGTATGAGCCGTGGGGTCCAAGTGGGATGAGCCATGGGCCCCCCCTGGGGTGAGCTGTGGTCCCCATCAGAGTGGCCCTGGAGCAGCACATGGGGTGGGCCCCTCGGTGCAGGCGGTGCGTGGGGCAGGAAGCGAGGGCGGAAGCCACAGCCCTGCATGGGGCTGTTCGCATGCGCCCCATGGCCAGCCCCACCCCACCATGGCAGCTCTTGCCACCTTCCTGGTGCCTGTCCTCCTCCTCCTCCTCTGTGGGCCGGACCCCTGCCCTGCTGCTGCCCACAGCCAGCCAGGTAAGGGGGCACATGGGCCCATGGGGAGGTGGGAGGCCGCAGATCCCCACTGTGGGTGAGGATGGAGCCAGTGATGGCGGGCAAGGAGGGCAGGATGTGGGGCTGTGTGGGCTGGCGCGCTGTTGGGGGGGTGCACCAGAGACCCTGCGACCACCCAGTGTGCCGCAGGACCCCCGGCACATACATGGCCCCTTGCAAAGGGACTGCCAGGAGAGACAGGCTGTGCCAGGGAGCCCCGTTGGGTGTCCTTGCTCCCACCCCAGCGATGGAGCGTTGCTGACACCACCAGCCCCATGGCTACTAGTCCTGCAGCGCTCCTGGCCCCATTACTCTACTGGCAGGCCCATGCTATCCATGGGTGCTGGCCAGGCTGGCGGCCTAGTGGATCTGCCCTTTCCATCCTGGTCACGTCAGCAGTGCTGTGCACAGGAAGGAGATGCACAGGAAGGGAGACAGCAGCTTCTCTTTCCACCTGGCACCCTCATCCCAGCCATTGTTTTCTGGGAAAAAATCCACCTCTTGGCTGGCTGTCAGCAAAACAACAGCTTTCTGTGGAAACACAGTCCCTCTGTATCCCTGGACCTCCTGGGCTGCTGGGAAGATGTCCTTCATCTTCATGTGTGGAAACAGCCAGAGCGCAGCCTGTTTGCTGCATTGTGTTACACTACAGCTCCGAAAAGCCTGGCTCTGGCTTTTTCCTGCTCCTGCAGTTCTGGCTGGTGAGTTTGGACCTTGGGTGGGACCAGATGTCCCATTGCTTGGTTTTTAGGGGGAAAACCTCTCATTTTCTGTGAGTCTGCAGGACAGCTCTCAGCCACCAGCAGCTGGGCTGGCACTTGAGAGAGCTCTGTGAGGTGTCTCAGTCCATCAGAGCAGCTCATCCCTCAGCGAGTTGTGCTTCTGAGCACCAGAGCAGACTGTGGTGTCATAACTGATGGGACCAGCACTACTGCTGTGGCCCTGCAGCCTCCTGCCAGCCCAGGATGTGGCTACGTGGGTAAGAACCAGGCCTGGCACAGTGCAGCAGAAGGAGAGGGCAGAGGAGGCAGCATGAGTTTCCTGCAGAGATGGAGACTCAGAGGCTCAGCCTGTGGTGGAGGGGCTGTGGTGGGAAGCAGCCCTGCACAGCCTTGATCACCCAGACACAGAGACACATGAGCACCCGCAAGCACCCAAAAGGGTAACAGTGAGATGAATTTAGCCAGGATGGAGACACCAGGCATAAATACTGAAAAAAAACCCCCTCTGATTTTCTCATGGGACAAACAAAATGGGTTGGCAGAGAGGGATTTGTATCCTGCCCCACACCGAGGAGCTGCAAACAGCAGCTGTGGGGTGACTAAGGGGAGTAGATGGAGGACTCAGGGTGAAACACCACATCCACAGCATGAAAAGCCAACAGCACAGATGTGGGAGAGACAGCAGTCCTTTAGAGGAAGATGTGGGGCTGCTGGCAGCCCAGGCGTCACCAACACAGCTATGCCAGAAAGAGATGGGCTTGTTTGGCTAAGATGGAGAAAGGCTCATAGGGATATGCAGGGACCTTGACATGTGCCGTGTCTCCCCGGTGCACCCCTGGGCCCTGGCACAGCCTCCCACCACCACGATGCCCAGCAGTGTCTGTCATTTGCAGAGGTGAAGTGTGTCCTCTTCAACGAGGAGTACATGAACTGCACGTGGGGGAGCAGAGAGACACTCAAGGCCAACTACTCCCTCTACTACTGGTAGGTGTCCCCGCTCCACAGCCTGGTGTCCAGTGGTGGGTCCCCATGCAGGGGGGCTACTGCCAGCATCGCTGGTCCCATCAGGCTGCTCCTCCTCCACAAGCCCAGGGTGGGGCAGGCTCTGTCCTCCACAAGCCCAGGGTGGGGCAGGCTCTGTCTCCAGGGCAAGCAGGATGGGAAGTGTTGGGGAGAGGGGTCCCCAGGAGGGCTGGGGCATGTGAGGCCTTGGGGAGCCCCGGTAACTCCCTGTGGCACAGGTACAGGAACACATCCAACAAGGTGGAGTGCAAGCATTACCGGCAGGACCAGGACATCAGAGTCGGCTGCCACTTCAACCAGAACGAGATCATCCAGTTCCAGCCTTTCCACGTCCTTCTCAAAGCCAGCATGGGCGGCAGCACCCTGGAGATCAGCAAGCGCATGGAGCTGCAGGACCTGGGTACAGATTGGTCCCCCAGGGCTGACCCATCAGGTCCCAGCTGGCAGCAGGGCCATGGGGCCATGGGGCCAGCACTCACCAGGCATTCACCTGCAGTGAAACCAGATGCGCCCGTCAACCTGACCATCCACAACATGAGCAACAACCAGCTGCAGCTGACCTGGGCCACCACATACCCCAAAGCCAAGTGCCTGGAGCACGCCGTGAAGTACAAGAGCAACAAGGACACCGACTGGATGGTGAGAGCCCCTGGGCACGGCACCCTTGTGGCTGTGCCTAGGGAGGAGCTGTACACCAGCCTCCATGGCAGTCCCAGCCCACAGCCATGGCTCATGTCTCTGCAGGAGATCTCGGTGAATGGAGATGTCTTCTCCTTACCCAGCGTGGACTACAAGAAGTTCTACACCTTCTATGTGCGCAGCAAGGTCAACAAATACTGCGGCAGGACCCAGCTCTGGAGCGAGTGGAGCGTTCCCGTGGTCTGGGGCAGCAACTCCACCAGCAAGAGTAGGTCCTGGGGGCTGTAGTGGGATGGGATGGACTGAAGCATGGCAGGGCTCAGCAGGTGAGGGATGGCCAAGCAAGTAGAGAGCTGGCCTGAGGTGGCAGCTGTAGGGGCAAGACCCGTCCGGGCACCTGGAGTGCAGGCAGCAGCATCAGCCCCTGCTGCTTTGTACTTCTGGAAGCCAAATACACCCCAGCAGTGGGACCTGCTGACTTTTGCCAGGGGTTTCTTAGCACTGGAGGGCTGCCCTGGCACTGCTGGGCCAGGACAGGGTCACCAGCCAGTTTTGGTGGTAGTGTGGCAGGGCTTGGAGGCGGGCCCCTTCTCTATCCTCTGCTCCCAGAACAATGCCATGGCCACCCATTGCTGTGATGGTGTACTGTCTGGGCATCAGTGTCACCTTGGTTCTTTCCAGGCACAGTCCACTGGTTCTGGATCCACACAGTCTTGATCCCCATTGCCTCCTGCGTGATCTTGCTGGTCCTTGTCATCCTGCTGGTGCGCATGGAAAGGTGAGTGTGGGGAGCTGATGGGGGGGCAGCAGCATTGGGGCTCTTCCCCTCTGACAAACCTCTCTCACACAGGGTATGGGTCATCCTAATGCCCCGAATTCCCAACCCCAGCAAGAATTTCGATGAGCTCTTCATCACCCACAACGGCAACTTCCAGGTAAGGCGGGTGCAGACGGCCCTGCCCTGGGCTCGCCCTGCACCGTGGGGTTGGGGCTGGGCTGGGTGGTGGCTCCTCTCACTCTGCTCTGTTCCCTGCAGGAATGGGCTGGAGTCCCCAAGGATGTTGTGGAGAGCTTCAAGCCCAACTACAGCGAGAACATCTGTTATGTGAGTGAGCTGCCACCCAAGGACAGCTACGATCCCCTCTGGGAGAGCAGCAACCCCCCACCGTCTGTGATGCCTTCGGCCTCACCTGCCCCCGGCGAGCACAGCCCCTACAAGAACAGCTATGGGAGAGTGTGACACACTCCTGCACCCCCCACGCTGCACAGCTTTGCTGCCAAAACCTCACTGCTCTGCAGGCCCTGCTCCCTGCTCCTGCCATGCCTCCCCCAGCTGCCCCTGGTTTTGCTTCCTGCCATGGCCACACTCAGCCCCCCATGACACAGGGGCTGCACTGCACTGCAGGTGCTGGGGGAGCACGGTGTGCTGGGTGCCCTGGGGGCTGCACTGGGGGCACTGGTGGTGCACTGGTGCCCACAAGCACACCCAGGGACGTGTCCTGGCAAGCAGGCAGGGGCCACTGGCAAACTGATGGGGACATGGGGGATGAGGAGTGCCAGGGAGAACAAGAGTGGAAAAATAATGGAAGACACCTGAAGAGTATTGTAAACATGTTCAAGTGACTTGCAGCTGGGTGTAGAAAAACATATATACCATACTCTTAGATGTTTAGCCTTGTGTGTTTGGCAAGTAGAACTTCTGTGTTTAGATAACACAGGCTTGTGATAGACTTAGTGGCACCTTATTTAACATGCTTGAGATTCCTGCCCTGCTATGGGAAAGATCAAATCACAGTGGTAAACCAGGACTGCACAAATCCTTGATAAACAGGCAAAAACAGCAGGTTCAGTGATTCTCCAGCACAGGCCAAGCTCCACAGTACCTGCATCCCTGCTTGTCTGCCTCTGCCCAGGTGCTGCTTGGGGGATCCTCCAGTCCTCAAGATAATGAAAATAAATTTCCTCTTTGCCTTTTATCCGTGGTTTTGTGGTTGTTCCTGTGTCCTGCCTCTACCAGCTCAGACCGCAAGCCACTGTGTTACCCTGGGGCCCTGGGCAAGCCTGGCAGTTCCCCCAAGGCCTCGCTGCTCCTTGCCTGCTCCCCAGGTTTCCCGTGGCAATAAAGCTCTGGCCACCAGGGGCTTGTCCAGGCTTGTCACACAGGGTCTGGGGGAAGCACCAGTGGAGCCCCACCTCCTGAACACCTCTGGCCTTGCACATGTTGTGATGCAGGAGCCAGCCCCACCATCCCAGCCCCACTGTCCCAGGCTGGCATCAATCATCATCAAGCATGCTGATGAGTCCCCTCCTGGCTGTCCCACGCTGCTCCCTGCACACGGGGTGATGTGCTGTGGCCTCCCTGTGCAGTGGGCTCGGCTCTGGGCTCTGCAGCCACTGCCAGGGCCACCTGCTGCCCTCAGGCACGGCTGCTGTCCCTGCAGGAGACCAGAGCTTTCTGGCCAACACCGGCTGCAGCGTCCTGCAGCTGCTCTTACAGAATCACAGAATCAATCAGGTTGGAGAAGACCTCTGAGATCATCGAGTCCAACCTACGACTGACCATCACCACATCAACTAAGACTATGGCACCAAGTGCAAGTAAGACATCCAGCCTTTTTTTAAACACCTCCAGGGATGGTGACTCCACCACCTCCCTGGGCAGCTCATTTCAATGCCTGACCACCCTTTCTGTGAAGAATTTCCTCCTAATGTCCAACCTAAACCTCCCGTGGTGCAGCTTAAGACTTATGTCCAGCCGTTCTGTCGCTGGTTGCCCGGGAGAAGAGCCCAACGCCGCACCTGGCTACAACCTCCTGTCAGGGAGTTGTAGAGAGCGATGAGCTCTCCAGGCTGGCCCCCGCTCAGGCTCTGCTCAGCAGCGCTGGTCCCCAGCGCCGTTCCCGTTCCCGATCCCGATCCCGATCCCGGCCCGCTGGGGGCGTGTCCGGCGCTGACAGCGGCACTGCCCGGCCCCGCCCACCGGCGCGGCGGAGGCCGCCCCCTGGCGGCGGCGATTGGCGCAGGCGGGCCCGCCCCCCGTGCCCGCGGCGGAGCCGGCGCTGCCCCGGCACTGCCACCGGCACCGGCACCGGCACCGGCACCGCGGGCACGGCACGGCACGGGCTCACCATGATCGTGTGTCCCCAGAGCGTGGAGCACCCCCGAGGAAGCCGATGCCAGCGGCTGCCGGGGCAGGTAGGACCCGCCCCGCCGCGCCACCGCCACCGGCAGCCCGTACCGGAGCACCGGGCTTCGCCCTGCTGGCCGCCACCGGCCCGGCACGGCTGCGGCACCGACAGGCCGGGACATTCCCGCTGCCCGCTGGCGGTGCGCGGGGCCGGTGGGGTGAGGCTGCGCTCTCACGGTGCCGCGGCCGGCGGGTTGGTGGCGGTGCCGGTGCCGGTCGCGGTGCCGGTGCCGGTGCGGCGGCTCCGTCCCCGTCCCCTTTGTGCGGGATGCGGGAGGCGCCGTGGCTCCATCACTGCCAATCAAACTTGTTTTTCTCTCTCCGCCTGCACTGCCCGCGCCGCCCGCCGGGGGCGCTGCCGCCGCCGCCGCCCGCACAATGGGCCCCGGGTACCGGCCCCGGGCACCGCCGGGGGAGCCCCTGCCGCGGGCACTTCGCCCGTCCCCTCGAAACCCGGGCCGGAGGGGCTGGGCGAGAGGTGCCGCCGCGGCAGCATCTCCAGAGAATGCCACCGGCGGGGCCACCGGTACCGGCGGAGCCACGGTCTCTCCTGGCGGAGGGATGGAGCCCCGGCGGGGATGACCCTCTCTGCGCATCCCGGTGCTGCTCGGGCTCGCTCCCGGCCGGCCGGGCTCCTCCAGACTCCTGCCGCCTTTTTGTGCTCATGGCTGCCGAGCGGGAGCACCGGGGTACCGCTCCCCTGGCAGCACCGCCGGGTGGGGAGGGGGCGAGGTTGGTGGTGGGTGCGGGGTCGAGGTGCCTGTTGGGGTTCAGGGGGCTTGGATAGAGGAAAGCCTCCCCGGGGAGGGAGGCGATGTTCCCACCGCCCAGGGGTGCGAGTGGGTGCAGGGGAGGAGGAGGAGGAGGATTGTGGCCGAGGAAGGTGAGCAAGGTGGCACTGGGAGCAATGCGAGAGGCTGGGGAGGCAGGAGTGCGGGAATGTGGCAGGTGGTCCCGGTAGGAGACACCCTGGGCTGAGCTGGTACCTTTGGGAGTGGGCAGGAGAGAGGCCGAGGTCGGAGCTTGCCTTGCACCTTCCTTCATCCTCTCCTTCCAAGCCGTGTCTGCCTAGTTGCTCTCTCCACCACCACCTGGACAAGCAGAGTGAGGAGAGCTGGCAGCACCAAAGGCTGAGCCATGGGCTGGTTGCATGGCTCCTTGCTGTGGACCACCTTTCCCCAGGGGGAGTGGAAGGGCCCCCAGCTCCTCTGCCTACGAGGAGGAGAAGACCAGTGGCTGTAACCCCATGGTTGTCCTCATGGCAGCTCATTTCCCCAGGCAGAGGGACTTTTCAGGGGGCTTTCACATGTCACTTCTGGCTTGCACCTTCCCCCGTGGAACAGAGAAGCTGGTGCTCCTCATCTCTTTCCATTTTAATTTGAGTTTTGGGGTTTTTTGGACCTCTTTGGCCAGAGGAAGTTGATGTTCCAAATGTCATCGAGTTAATCTCTTGACATCTGAGCGATGGTATGTTCATCAGAAGTGCAGGATGGCGGAAAATAGCCAGAGCTGCTTCCTGCACTGCCTCTGTGGGTGCAACTGCTCTGTACTGCCACACAGCTCATCACTGCTCTGTCTCCCCCTCACCCCGGGGTGCTCTGCCACACACCCCATGGCTTTGGTGGTTTGCAGAAGTGCTCCTGGTTTTCTGCTATGCCACCGTGGTTGCCGTGCCCCAGTCACCATCCTTTGGGGGACTGCGCTGGAGAGGCAGGTGGGAGGAACATGACGGTGGGATCAGCAGGGCCAATTTCCCAGGGGAGATTTCAGTTCAAGCCTGGGAGAGAAGATGCATCCTCTGCATCCCAGGGTGCTGCCTGGGCTCCCCTGGATGAGCAGGGGCTGTGACTTTCTGTGTGACAGGGGTTAGCACCTGCTGCACCCACAGCTCGGGGTGGGCAGGCTGCAGGTGCAGACCCCGCTGTTGGGTGGGAATTGTGGCAACACGGTCGTTGGGGCACAGCAGCTGCCCAGACACCTTTTCAACATCCCTGCCCTCGTCTCCCACCACCCTCTTGGGAGGGATTGGGGTGGGCACTTCTGGGGATGTCTGGGCCCCCCTTGCCGAGTGGCCCATTTGTGTTCTCACCAGTGGGCACACCTGGTGACAGTTGCACTGTGTCCTGCGGGACCGCTCCCACACTGTCTCCTTGGGCAACACGTGGGGAGCTCCTCTGTGTGCTCCCGACCACATGGAAGGTGCCAGGACATCACTTGCCTCTTGGCTTGCCAGGGCAGGAGCCTCAGAGCCCCTCTGCTGTCTCCACAGCTCTCCCCCATCTTGGTGCTGGGCAGGAGGGCTCAGTGCTGGCAGTGCAGGGTCCTGGTGGTAGGCTGACAGGCTGCTCCATTCCAGAATGTTTTTCCATGTCATGTTTCCCCTGCTCCAGCCCTGCATCACTGCAAGGAAACATCATTCCTAGTTGGTCCTTTGCTTCAGCTCACCATGCAGTGCCTTCTCCCAGGCAGAGGCCAACCTGTGTGTCTTGTGACCTGTCCTCCTGCTAGCAGTGCCTGTGCTGAGCAGTGCTCTGCCTGGCTCCAGGAGTGTCCTTCTGGGAGCACTGAGCCAGGAGAGGGGATTTCTGCCCCTTGCAGAGCCTGGGCTTGGCTGGGGTGGGCTGCTGCAGCAGGGGCTGCTCTGGGGAGAGCCAAGCAGAGCGTGTTTCCTGCAGGTAGTGAAGATGTCCGGCAGCGACCCTGAGTGCCCCCAGTTCCTCTTCGTGAAGGTGCTGGCGAGCCGGGGGCGGCTGGAGGCAGTGACCCAGCAGATGGGCTACCACCCACAGTACCTGGACAGCTTCCTCAAGATGCAGCACTACCTGATGCACATGGATGGCCCCCTGCCCTTTGACTGCCGGCACTACATCGCCATCATGGTGAGCCCCACTGGGAGCTGCCGGAGGGGACGGGGGCTCTGCTCAGCCCTGTGGGGCTCCCCTCTCCCTCCAGCAGACAGCCTGTGTCAGAGGCTTCTCATCAGAGGCCAAAATTGTGGTGTCCTGGAGGTTGGGTGAGAGGTGGGCGCAGGGTGCCTGCATGGTGCGGGGATGCTGATGTGCTGCCCTTGCAGGCGGCTGCCCGGCACCAGTGCCGGTACCTGGTGAACCTGCACGTGCTGCAGTTCCTGCGGGCAGGGGGTGACCCCCAGTGGCTGCGCGGCCTCGAATTCATCCCCCCCAAACTCCGCAACCTCAACGAGATCAACAAGATCCTGGCACACCGGCCCTGGCTCATCACCAAGGAGCACATTGAGGTACTGGGGGAGGGCTGTCAGCCAGGGACCAGGGCAGCAGTGGGGGACAGCAGTGTCCCCAGAGGCTGCCAGCACCCTGCCCACCTGCCTGTGGTACACTGCTGGTCTGTGTTCTGCAGAAGCTGCTGAAGATCAGCGAGTGGAGCTGGTCGCTGGCGGAGCTGGTGCACGCTGTCGTCCTCCTGGCACACTGCCATGCACTTGCCAGCTTTGTCTTCGGCTGTGGCTGTGAGCAGGACGAGGGGCTGGGGGGCCGAGGCTCCCTGAAGCCCCTGTCACTCGGGAACCAGTGCTTCTGCGAAGCCACCGCCGGCAACAGCTGCAGCCAGGAGCTGCTGCGCATCAACCGCAAGCGGGTGAGCCCCCGAGGGTGGGTGTGCTGGGCAGGGGGAGGTGCAGCCACGACTGCTGCCCTCACCCCCAGCCTGTGTCTGTGCAGTCCCTGGACTCCTGCATGGAGCTGGATTCCCTCCGGGAGCGCATGCAGCGGATCCATGTGGAGACCGAGGGCAGGGAGGAGATGAGGCTGCT